GGAGAGAGTGGGTGCAGGGGAGGAGAACAGAAACAGGGGTGAAAGTGGCAGAGAGGGGGAAGGATATCCATTAAGCCGTCACGGCTCAGAGGTTTGCTTTTAAACCAGAGTTGAGGTAATACGAGGCAGCTCCCTGCTTCTGTTTTTTTTTTTGTCTTTGCTCCGTTTTTTTGTCTTCTTTCTCTTGGTTGAAATAAAGAGGCAGTCGGACGGAGGAGAGGGAGGTGTGAAAAGTGAAAGATGACAAATGGATGCTGTTCCCTGCCCACTCATGACACCCGCCCACCTGTCCTGCTGCGCATATACCCCCCACCCAGCACACACCAGCACCTCGGCTCGGTGCTGATCGCCTTTCTCTGCTGCCCGAGCAGGTGTGCCCAACCCCCCCCAGCTCTCTCTTCTCTGCCTCATGCCTTCTCGCCTGCCCACCTCTCGCATGAGGACTAACTGTGGGGCCCCTGCCCCCCCACCCAACCCCTCATTTATCACTTCCCACAGCTGTCTCCAGATGCCCCCTCCCTCCAGCGCCCGGCCTGCCCTCCTCCAGGTCTGGGAGCCCCCCCCACGTCAGTCCGAACTCGCCCCGCCGTTCTGCGATCTGTTCTTTACTTCAGCCATCGGAGACGTTCTCCTTTCATCCTCCCCCGGCGTCGGGGAAAAAAAACAGCCAGTCGTAGATCTCCCCTCACCCCCAATCCCGATTCCGGATCCCAATCCCGGATTTCCTCCATCCAAACCCCCGTGCTCCCTGCCCAGATAGTGAGTGGGAACTCCAGCGAACCTGCCTGTGCCTGTGCTGGTTCTGATCCGGGGGCCAGGTTTGGCTGATATGTGTGTCCCCGGCTCGGACCAGCTGGTTCTGGTTGACCTTGGGACCTGACGGGTAGAGATTGGCCCTGTACAATTTCTTGCATTAGGAATTTGTCTTTTCGCATACTGCAGCTTGGAGAGAAGCTGGGGGTCAGAGCGCAGGGTCAGCCATTTATACAGCGCCCCTGGAGCAGCTGGGGTTAAGGGCCTTGCTCAGGGGCCCAGCAGAGTAGGATTCCTCTGCCGGCCGCGGGATTCGAACCGGCAACCTTCCAGCCACAGACGCAGATCCTGAGCCACAGAGCCACTGCTCCGCCCCGAGTGTGTCCTGATACTGTGACCTCGTATGGCTTTTAATGCTGGCTGGTGCAGAGGTTGGCATTGCTGTCTTGCAGTGCTGGGGCCCCGGGTTCACTTCTGGATGCCATCTGTGTGGAGTCTGCGCGTTCTCGGTTGGAGAATGAATTGGATGGCTTTCAGTTTTGGCCCCGACAAGGGAGGGCACTTCTGCAGTCGTCCCTGGATTGTCCCTTCACTGGATTGTGTTTTCTTCGAAAAAAGCACACAGATATGTGAGCTGTGCAAATATCTGAAATATATGAGTGGGTTCGTTAAAGACGGACTTCAGAGCAAGGGGGAAGGAGGGATGGGTGATTTGTTTCTGAAAAGGCAGTTGTTCTTATTCTAGCAAGTCGAATGAGGGAATCCCAGTTCTCTCCCCCCCCCGCCCCATTCCCTCCATTCCTGCATTCAGTGCCTTGGCAACATGAGTCAGCACCCCCTCCCACCACCACACACTCCCCCCCCCCGTAACGACACCTTTACCCCTGGGGCAGAGAGCTGGAGCCTGCTGATGTCACCCTCCTCCCCCACCAGGCGATAGCAGCTCCCTTCCTGCCTCTTTCTGAGAAAGAGCCGCTCTCTGTCGACTGGCACGCTCGAGACGAGAAAAACACACAGATCTGGGGGTGTTTTGCATAACATTTCACCTGTGGCCAGAGAGAGAGAGAACAGCATGAGCTCGAA